TAACAGCCGGAGGGGTCCCTGATTGGCTGCCCCCTTTACGTGTGTGTGGCCGGGCTGGTGGAGGGTTGATGCTTGCACCGATGGGTCCTTGCACAGTTCATGCTTGAACCCCCGGGGGTGCCATTGCCTTGGGTCCCAGCCGGGCTCTGCTTGGGGGTCCCGGGGTGCCCGGGTTGCCCCTTGGGCACAGTCACCCACAGGCCCCTCCACAGGCGCCCCAGGGACCCTCTGGGTGGGATCCGTGTGGCCCCGCAGCGCCCGCCTGCACTGGGACCCCCGTCGCGTGCCCCCCGATGGCTACGACCTTGTCTATGGGCCCCCTGGAGGAGCCCAGCAGGTAACGACACCCCCCCCCAACCCCCCGAGCCCCCCAGAACCCCTTGGGGACCCCACCATTCCCTTTGGGACCCCAGCAACCCCTTGGGTCACCAATATCTCCCCATGCACCCCAATATCTCTTGAGGGGCCCCCTAGTACCTTCTTGAGACACCCCAATCCCCCCCTTGGGGCACCCCAATCCTCCCCTGTGCTTCCCCCCCCCCAGACATTGCAGCTCCCCCCCGAGGCAACATCCTATGAGCTGTGGGGCCTGGAGCCTGCGGGGCGCTATGGGGTGCAGCTACGGGGCCGGGGAGAAGATGCCCCCCCCACCCTGCTGGAGACCACCTTTGACACCCGTGAGCTGGGGTCCTGAGGCCTTGGGGGGGGACACCCAGACCCATGGTCATTGGGTGACGGGGATGTTGGGTCATTGGGTAGGGGGCACCCAGACCCATGGTCATTGGGTGATGGGGATGTTGGGTCATTGGGTGGGGGGCACCCAGACCCATGATCATTGGGTGATGGGGATGTTGGGTCATTGGGTGGGGGGCACCCAGACCCATGGTCATTGGGTGATGGGGGGATGTTGGGTCATTGGGTGGGGGGCACCCAGACCCATGGTCATTGGGTGATGGGGGGATGTTGGGTCATTGGGAGGGGGACACCCAGACCCATGGTCATTGGGTGATGGGGGACGTTGGGTCATTGGGTGGGGGGCACCCAGACCCATGGTCATTGGGTGATGGGGATGTTGGGTCATTGGGTGGGGGGCACCGAGACCCATGGTCATTGGGTGATGGGGATGTTGGGTCATTGGGTGGGGGGCACCCAGACCCATGGTCATTGGGTGATGGGGGATGTTGGGTCATTGGGTGGGAGGCACCCAGACCCATGGTCATTGGGTGATGGGGGACGTTGGGTCATTGGGTGGGGGGCACCCAGACCCATGGTCATTGGGTGATGGGGGGATGTTGGGTCATTGGGTGGGGGGCACCCAGACCCATGGCCACTGGGTGATGGGGACGTTGGGTCATTGGGTGAGGGGCACCCAGACCCATGGTCATTGGGTGATGGGGGGATGTTGGGTCATTGGGTGGGGGGCACCCAGACCCATGGTCATTGGGTGATGGGGATGTTGGGTCATTGGGTGGGGGGCACCCAGACCCATGGCCACTGGGTGATGGGGGGATGAGTCCTTGGGTGGGGGTCACCCAGACCCATGGTCATTGGGTGATGGGGGGATGTTGGGTCATTGGGTGGGGGGCACCCAGACCCATGGTCATTGGGTGATGGGGATGTTGGGTCATTGGGTGGGGGGCACCCAGACCCATGGTCATTGGGTGATGGGGGGATGAGTCCTTGGGTGGGGGGCACCCAGACCCATGGTCATTGGGTGATGGGGGACGTTGGGTCATTGGGTGGGGGGCACCCAAACCCATGGTCATTGGGTGATGGGGGAATGAGTCCTTGGGTGGGGGGCACCCAGACCCATGGTCATTGGGTGATGGGGACGTTGGGTCATTGGGTGGGGGGCACCCAGACCCATGGTCATTGGGTGATGGGGGACGTTGGGTCATTGGGTGGGGGGCACCCAGACCCATGGTCATTGGGTGATGGGGACGTTGGGTCATTGGGTGGGGGGCACCCAGACCCATGGTCATTGGGTGATGGGGACATTGGGTCATTGGGTGGGAGGCACCCAGACCCATGGTCATTGGGTGATGGGGACATTGGGTCATTGGGTGAGGGGCACCCAGACCCATGGTCATTGGGTGATGGGGGATGTTGGGTCATTGGGTGGGGGGCACCCAGACCCATGGTCATTGGGTGATGGGGGGATGTTGGGTCATTGGGTGGGGGGCACCCAGACCCATGGTCATTGGGTGATGGGGGGATGGTGGGTCATTGGGTGGGGGGCACCCAGACCCATGGTCATTGGGTGATGGGGGGATGTTGGGTCATTGGGTGGGGGGCACCCAGACCCATGGTCATTGGGTGATGGGGATGTTGGGTCATTGGGTGGGGGGCACCCAGACCCATGGCCCCCCCCTGCCCCCCCAGCCCCCCTTCCCCACCCGCACCCCCGGGACTGCGCCGAGGAGCAGCTCAATGGGCCGGGGCCTTCGCGCGAGGCCCTCGTCTTCCTCGGGGGGGACCCCGCAAGGCCCCTGCGCGTCTTCTGCGACATGGACACGGACGGCGGCGGGTGGCTGGTGGGGAGCTATGGGGGGTCCTATGGGGAGCTGTGGGGGGGGTCCTATGGGGAGCTATGGGGGGGGTCCTATGGGGAGCTGTGGGGGGGGTCCTATGGGGAGCTATGGGGGGGGTCCTATGGGGAGCTATGGGGGGGTCCTATGGGGGGCTCCTGTGGGGAGCTATGGGGGGCTCCTATGGGGAGCTATGGGGGGGTCCTATGGGGAGCTATGGGGGGGTTCCTATGGGAGCTATGGGGGGGGCCCTATGGGGGGGTTCCTATGGGGAGCTATGGGGGGGGTCCTATGGGAGCTATGGGGGGGGTCCTATGGGGAGCTGTGGGGGGGCTCCTATGGGCAGCTATGGGGGGGTCCTATGGGGAGCTGTGGGGGTGCTCTTATGGGGAGCTATGGGGGGGCTCCTATGGGGAGCTATGGGGTGACTTCTATGGGGAGCTATGGGGTGGGTCCTATGGGGAGCTATGGGTGGGCTCCTATGGGGAGCTCTGGGGGTGCTCTTATGGGGAGCTATGTGGGGGGTCCTATGGGGAGCTATGGGGGTGGGTCCTATGGGGAGCTGAGGGGGGCTCCTATGGGGTGCTATGGGGGGTGTCCTATGGGGAGCTATGGGGGGGGGCCAAGGGGAGCTGTGGGGGGGCTCCTATGGGGAGCTGTGGGGGTGCTCCTATGGGCAGCTATGGGGGGGGGGGCAAGAGGAGCTGTGGGGGGGCTCCTATGGGGAGCTCTGGGGGGGGGGCCAAGGGGAGCTGTGGGGGGGCTCCTATGGGGAGCTCTGGGGGGAATGGAGGGGTGTGGAGGGCAACGGGAGGGCACGAGGAGGGGCTGTGTGGGGGTTATGGGGGTGATAAATGGGGTCCTGGGGGCAAAGGGGCCTTGTGGGGCACTGGGGGGCACTGGGAGGGGTTAAGGGGGGGTGGAAATGGGGAAGTGGAGGGGCCTGGTGAGCAATGGGGGGGGGGGTGTCTATGGGGTGGGGGGGGGGGTCACAATGGGGCTGCCCCTGATCCCCCCCCCACCACCACCCCCACCCCAAAGGTGTTCCAGCGGCGCCAGGACGGGGGCACGGATTTCTGGCGGGGGTGGGAGGAGTACGAGAGGGGCTTCGGGAACGTGAGCGGAGAATTCTGGTTGGGTGAGAGATGGGGGGGAAGGGGGGCGGGGAGGGGGGCAGCGAGGGGGGGAAGGAGGGACCAGCAATGGGGTGGGGAGGAGGGGAGGGACACAATGGTTGTGGGGACTGGGGGCAACCATGTCCATGTCCGTGCTCACCCATGTCCATGTCCATGCTCACCCATGTCCATGCTCACCCATGTCCATGTCCATGCTCACCCATGTCCATGTCCATGCTCACCCATGTCCATGCTCACCCATGTCCATGCTCACCCATGTCCATGTCCATACTCACCCATGTCCATGTCCATACTCACCCATGTCCATGTCCATGCTCACCCATGTCCATGCTCACCCATGTCCATGCTCACCCATGTCCATGTCCATGCTCACCCACGTCCATGTCCATGCTCACCCATGTCCATGTCCATACTCACCCATGTCCATGTCCGTGCTCACCCATGTCCATGCTCACCCATGTCCATGTCCATGCTCACCCATGTCCATGCTCACCCATGTCCATGTCCATGCTCTCCCATGTCCATGCTCACCCATGTCCATGCTCACCCATGTCCATGTCCCTCCACCCCCATGTCCACGTCCTTGCTCACCCACCTCCGTCCCCACGTCCCGGTCCAGGTAACGCCGCTCTCCACGCTCTCACCTCCTCCCGCCCCATGGAGCTCCGGGTCGATCTCCGCTCCCCGCTCGACGCCGCCTTCGCCCGCTACCGCGACTTCCGCGTGGCCGGGCCCCACGAGCACTACGGCCTGCACCTGGGAGCCTACAGCGGCACCGCCGGTGCGATGGGGGGCGCTATGGGGCGCTATGGGGCTAAGGGGGGCTATGGGGGGCTATGGGGCTAAGGGAGGCTATGGGGTGCTATGGGGCTAAGGGAGGCTATGGAGGCCTATGGGGGACTATGGGGCGCTTTTGGTGGCTATAGGGACCTACAGGGGACTCTGGGGCTAAGGGGGGCTATGGGGCTATGGAGGTCTTTGGGGGACTATGTGGGGCTATTGGTGGCTATGGGGCTATGGGGGGGCTATGGGGTTCTATTGGGGGGCTATGGGGCTAAGGGAGGCTATGGGGGGCTATGGGGGGAGATGGGGGGCTATGGGGCTAAGGGGGGCTATGGGGTCCTATTGGGGGGCTATGGAGCTAAGGGAGACTATGGGGGGCTATGGGGCTAAGGGGGGCTATGGGGTCCTATTGGGGGGCTATGGGGCTAAGGGGGGCTATGGTGGGCTATGGGGGGAGACGGGGGTCTATGGGGCTAAGGGAGGCTATGGGGTACTATTGGGGGGCTATGGGGCTAAGGGAGGCTATGGGGGGCTATGGGGCTAAGGGGGGCTATGGGGTCCTATTGGGGGGCTATGGAGCTAAGGGAGGCTATGGGGGACTCGGGGGCTAAGGGGGGCTATGGGGCTATGGAAGCTTGTGGGGGGCTATGTGGGGCTATTGGTGGCTATGGGGCTACAGGGACCTATGGGGAGCTATGGGGCTAAGGGTGGCTATGGGGTTCTATTGGGGAGCTATGGGGCTAAGGGAGGCTATGGGGGGCTATGGGGGGAGATGGGGGGCTATGGGGCTAAGGGGGGCTATGGGGTCCTATTGGGGGGCTATGGAGCTAAGGGAGGCTATGGGGGGCTATGGGGCTAAGGGGGGCTATGGGGTCCTATTGGGGGGCTATGGGGCTAAGGGGGGCTATGGGGGGCTATGGGGGGAGACGGGGGTCTATGGAGCTAAGGGAGGCTATGGGGTACTATTGGGGGGCTATGGGGCTAAGGGAGGCTATGGGGGGCTATGGGGCTAAGGGGGGCTATGGGGTCCTATTGGGGGGCTATGGGGCTAAGGGGGCCTATGGTGGGCTATGGGGGGAGACGGGGGTCTATGGGGCTAAGGGAGGCTATGGGGTACTATTGGGGGGCTATGGGGCTAAGGGAGGCTATGGGGGGCTATGGGGCTAAGGGGGGCTATGGGGTCCTATTGGGGGGCTATGGGGCTAAGGGGGCCTATGGTGGGCTATGGGGGGAGACGGGGGTCTATGGGGCTAAGGGAGGCTATGGGGTACTATTGGGGGGCTATGGGGCTAAGGGGGGCTATGGGGGGAGATGGGGGGCTATGGGGCTAAGGGAGGCTATGGGGTCCTATTGGAGGGCTATGGGGCTAAGGGGGGCTATGGGGGAAGATGGGGGGCTATGGGGCTAAGGGGGGCTATGGGGTTCTATTGGGGGGCTATGGAGCTAAGGGAGGCTATGGGGGGCTATGGGGCTAAGGGACGCTATGGGGGGCTATGGGGGGAGATGGGGGGCTATGGGGCTAAGGGGGGCTATGGGGTCCTATTGGGGGGCTATGGGGCTAAGGGGGGCTATGGAGGCCTATGGGGGGCTATGGGGCGCTATTGGTGGCTATAGGGACCTACAGGGGACTCTGGGGCTAAGGGGGGCTATGGGGCTATGGAGGTCTGTGGGGGGCTATGGGTGCTACGGGGACCTATGGGGGGCTATGGGGCTACGGGGAGGCTATGTGGGGCTGTTGGTGGCTATGGGGCTAAGGGGCGGTATTGGTGGCTATGGGGCTAAGGGAAGGTATGTGGGGCTATTGGTGGCTATGGGGCTAAGGGGGGCTATGTGGAGCTGTTGGCGGCTATGGGGCTAAGGGGGGCTATGTGGGGCTGTTGGTGGCTATGGGGCTAAGGGAGCCTATGTGGGGCTGTTGGTGACTATGAGGCTAAGGGGGGCTATGTGGGGCTATGGGGCTAAGGGAGACTATGTGGGGCTACTTGGTTCTATGGGGTCTATTGGGGGTCTTGGAACCCTGGTGGAGTCCTCAGCAGTCCAATGTCCCATGGGGGGTCTATGGGGTATCTATGGGTGTCTATGGGGTATATATGGGTGTCTATGGGGTAACTATGGGTAACTATGGGGTGTCTATGGGTGTCTATGGGGTGTCTATGGGGTATCTATGGGCGTCTATGGGGTATCTATGGGTGTCTATGGGGTGTCTATGGGGTATCTATGGGCGTCTATGGGGTATCTATGGGTGTCTATGGGGTGTCTATGGGGTATCTATGGGTGTCTATGGGGTGTCTATGGGTGTCTATGGGGTATCTATGGGTGTCTATGGGGTATCTATGGGTGTCTATGGGGTGTCTATGGGTGTCTATGGGGTATCTATGGGCGTCTATGGGGTATCTATGGGTGTCTATGGGGTGTCTATGGGGTATCTATGGGTGTCTATGGGGTGTCTATGGGTGTCTATGGGGTATCTATGGGTGTCTATGGGGTATCTATGGAGTAACTATGGGTATGGGGTATCTATGGGTGTCTATGGGATACCCATGGAGTTTCTATGGGGTGTCTATGGGATGTCTATGGGTACCTATGGGTGTCTTTGGGGTGACTATAGGTGCCTATATGGCGTCTATGTTTTCAATGGGTGTCTATGGGTGCCTATGGATGTCTATGGGGTGTCTTAGGGGTGTCTATGGTCTCTATGGGGTGTCTATGGGGTGCCTATGTGGTGTCTATGGGTGTCTAAGGCCTCTATGGGTGTCTATGGGGTGCCTATGGGTGTGTAGGGGTCTATGATCTCTATGGGTGTCTATGGGGTGCCTATGGGTGTCTATGGGGTGCCTATGGTCTCTATTCTCTATGAGGTCTCCATAGTCTCTATGGGTCCCTATGAGGTGTCTATGCACTCTATGGGTCTCTATGGGTCTCTATGGGTTTCTATAAGGTGTCTATGGGCTCTATGGGGCTCTATGGGCCCTATGGGTCTCTATGGTCTCTATGGGTCTCTATAATAGTGTCTATGGGTCTCTATGGTCTCTATGGGTCTCTATGGGTCTCTATTATCTCTATGGGTCCCTATGGGTCTCTATGGGTCTTTATGGGTCTCTATGAGGTCTCTATGTGTCTCTATGGTCCCTATGGTCCCTATGGGTCTCTACAGTCTCTATGTGTCCCTATGGTCTCCATGGGTCCCTATGTATCCCTATGTGTCCCTATGTGTCCCTATGGGTCCCTATGTGTCCCCATGTGTCCCTATGTGTCCCTATGTGTCTCTATGGGTCCCTATGTGTCCCTATGTGTCCCTATGGGTCCCTATGTGTCCCCATGTGTCCGTATGTGTCGCTATGTGTCGCTATGGGTCCCTATGGGTCCCTATGTGTCCCTATGTGTCCCTATGTGTCCCTATGGTCCCCATGTGTCCCTATGTGTCCCCATGTGTCCCCATGTATCCCTATGGCTCCCTATGTGTCCCTATGGGTCCCTATGTGTCTCTATGGGTCTCTATGTGTCCCTATGGTCCCTATGTTTCCCCATGTGTCTCTATGTGTCCCCATGTGTCCCTGTGTGTCCCTATGGGTCCCTATGTGTCCCTGTGTGTCCCTATGGGTCCCTATGGGTCTCTATGGGTCTCTATGTGTCCCTATGTGTCCCCATGTGTCCCTATGTGTCCCTATGTGTCCCTATGTGCCCCTATGTGTCCCTATGTGTCCCTATGGGTCTCTATGTGTCCCTATGTGTCCCTATGGGTCTCTATGGGTCCCTATGGTCCCTATGTGTCCCCATGTGTCCCTATGTGTCCCTATGTGTCCCTATGTGTCCCTATGTGTCCCTATGTGTCCCTATGGTCCCTATGTGTCCCCATGTGTCCCTATGTGTCCCTATGTGTCCCTATGTGTCCCTATGTGTCCCCATGTGTCCCTATGTGTCCCTATGGTCCCTATGTGTCCCCATGTGTCCCTATGTGTCCCTATGTGTCCCTATGTGTCCCCATGTGTCCCTATGTGTCCCTATGTGTCCCTATGTGTCCCTATGTGTCCCTATGGCTCCCTATGTGTCCCCATGTGTCCCTATGTGTCTCTATGTGTCCCCATGTGTCCCTATGTGTCCCTATGTGTCCCTATGGGTCCCTATGTGTCCCTATGTGTCCCCATGTGTCCCTATGTGTCCCTATGGCTCCCTATGGCTCCCTATGTGTCCCTATGGGTCCCTATGTGTCTCTATGGGTCTCTATGTGTCCCTATGGTCCCTATGTTTCCCCATGTGTCTCTATGTGTCCCCATGTGTCCCTGTGTGTCCCTATGGGTCCCTATGTGTCCCTGTGTGTCCCTATGGGTCCCTATGGGTCTCTATGGGTCTCTATGTGTCCCTATGTGTCCCCATGTGTCCCTATGTGTCCCTATGTGTCCCTATGTGCCCCTATGTGTCCCTATGTGTCCCTATGGGTCTCTATGTGTCCCTATGTGTCCCTATGGGTCTCTATGGGTCCCTATGGTCCCTATGTGTCCCCATGTGTCCCTATGTGTCCCTATGTGTCCCTATGTGTCCCTATGTGTCCCTATGGTCCCTATGTGTCCCCATGTGTCCCTATGTGTCCCTATGTGTCCCTATGTGTCCCCATGTGTCCCTATGTGTCCCTATGGTCCCTATGTGTCCCCATGTGTCCCTATGTGTCCCCATGTGTCCCTATGTGTCCCTATGTGTCCCCATGTGTCCCTATGTGTCCCTATGTGTCCCTATGTGTCCCTATGTGTCCCTATGTGTCCCTATGTGTCCCTATGTGTCTCTATGTGTCCCCATGTGTCCCTATGTGTCCCTATGTGTCCCTATGGGTCCCTATGTGTCCCTATGTGTCCCTATGTGTCCCCATGTGTCCCTATGTGTCCCTATGTGTCCCCATGTGTCCCTATGTGTCCCTATGTGTCCCTATGGGTCCCTATGTGTCTCTATGTGTCCTGCAGGGGACGCTCTTTCCTACCACTCGGGGAACCCGTTCTCCACCCGGGACCGGGACCCGCGGGGCCGCCCCCGTCCCTGCGCCGTCGCCTACGGGGGGGCCTGGTGGTACCGGAACTGTCACTACGCGAACCTGAACGGGAGGTACGGGAACCCCCGAGAGCATCAGGTACGGGGGAACAATGGGGAACAATGGGGAGAACAATGGGGAGAACAATGGGGAACAATGGGGGGGGGACAATGGGGAACGATGGGGAGAACAATGGGGGGGGGACAATGGGGAACGATGGGGAACAATGGGGAATGATGGGGAGAACAATGGGGGGGACAATGGGTAATGATGGGGAACAATGGGGAGAACAATGGGTAATGATGGGGAACAATGGGGAACAATGGGGAACAATGGGGGGGACAATGGGGAACAATGGGGGGAACGATGGGGAACGATGAGGAGAACAATGGGGAACGATGGGGAACGATGGGGGGAACAATGGGGAACGATGGGGAACGATGGGGAACAATTGGGGGGGACAATGGGGAACAATGGGGAACGATGGGGAACGATGGGGAACAATGGGGAACAATGGGGAACAATGGGGAATGATGGGGAACGATGGGGGGAACAATGGGGAACGATGGGGAACGATGGGGAGAACAATGGGGAACAATGGGGGAACAATGGGGGGGACAATGGGGGGGACAATGGGGGGGTTAACAATGGGGGGAACAATGGGGGGGAACAATGGGGGGGACAATGGGGGGGTTAACAATGGGGGGGACAATGGGGGGACAATGGGGGGAACGATGGGGAATGATGGGGAACAATGGGGAGAACAATGGGGAATGATGGGGAACAATGGGGAACAATGGGGAATGATGGGGAACAATGGGAACGATGGGGGGAACAATGGGGGACAATGGGGAACAATTGGGGGGGACAATGGGGAACAATGGGGAACGATGGGGGGACAATGGGGGATCAATGGGTGGAACAATGGGGAACGATGGGGGGAACAATGGGGAATGATGGGGAACAATGGGGGGGACAATGGGGAACAATGGGGGGAACGATGGGGAATGATGGGGAACAATGGGGAGAACAATGGGGAATGATGGGGAACAATTGGGGGGGACAATGGGGAACAATGGGGAACGATGGGGGGACAATGGGGGATCAATGGGTGGAACAATGGGGGACAATGGGGAACAATGGGGGGAACAATGGGGAACAATGGGGGGAACAATGGGGAATGATGGGGAACAATGGGGAGAACAATGGGGAATGATGGGGAACGATGGGGAACAATGGGAACGATGGGGGGAACAATGGGGGACAATGGGGAACAATTGGGGGGGACAATGGGGAACAATGGGGAACGATGGGGGGACAATGGGGGATCAATGGGTGGAACAATGGGGAACGATGGGGGGAACAATGGGGAATGATGGGGAACAATGGGGAATGATGGGGAACAATGGGGGGGGACAATGGGGAACAATGGGGGGACAATGGGGGATCAATGGGGAATGATGGGGAACAATGGGGGGGACAATGGGGAACAATGGGGAGCAATGGGGAACAATGGGGAACAATGGGGGACAATGGGGAACAATGGGGAACAATGGGGAGCGATGGGGAACAATGGGGGGAACGATGGGGAACGATGGGGAACGATGGGGAACGATGGGGAACAATGGGGGGAACGATGGGGAACAATGGGGGACAATGGGGGGAACGATGGGGAATGATGGGGAACAATGGGGAACAATGGGGAATGATGGGGAACGATGGGGAACAATGGAGAACGATGGGGAACGATGGGGAACAATGGGGAACAATGGGGGGACAATGGGGGGAACAATGGGGAACGATGGGGAACAATGGAGAACGATGGGGAACGATGGGGAACAATGGGGAACAATGGGGGGACAATGGGGGGAACAATGGGGAACGATGGGGAACAATGGGGGGAACGATGGGGAACAATGGGGAACGATGGGGAACGATGGGGAACAATGGGAAACGATGGGGGGAACAATGGGGGACAATGGGGAACAATGGGGAACGATGGGGGAACGATGGGGAACAATGGGGGACAATGGGGAACAATGGGGAACGATGGGGGAACGATGGGGACCAATGGGGAACGATGGGGAACGATGGGGAACGATGGGGAACAATGGGGGGAACGATGGGGAACAATGGGGGAACAATGGGGAACAATGGGGGGGAACAATGGGGAGAACAATGGGGAACGATGGGGAACGATGGGGAACAATGGGAAACGATGGGGGGAACAATGGGGGACAATGGGGAACAATGGGGAACGATGGGGGAACGGGGGAACGATGGGGAACACGATGGGGAACGATGGGGAACAATGGGGAACAATGGGGAACGATGGGGAACAATGGGGGGAACGATGGGGAACAATGGGGGAACAATGGGGAACAATGGGGGGGAACAATGGGGAGAACAATGGGGAACGATGGGGAACGATGGGGAATGATGGGGAACGATGGGGGACAATGGGGAACAATGGGGAACAATGGGGAACGATGGGGAACGATGGGGGGAACAATGGGGGGAACAATGGGGAACAATGGGGAACAATGGGGAACAATGGGGGGAACAATGGGGAACAATGGGGGACAATGGGGGGATGGGAATGGGGGGGAATGGGGGCAATGGGGGGAAAGTGGGGGTGGGGAAATGGGGGGAATGGGGGTCAATGGGGGGATGGTGGGGTCAATGGGGGGATGGGGGTCAATGGGGGGATGGGGGGAATGGGGGAAATGGGGGTCAATGGGGGGATGGGGGGAATGGGGGTGATGGGGGATTGGGGGGATGGAGGGGATGGGGGGGATGGGGGGGGATGGGGAAATGGGGGTCAATGAGGGGATGGGGAAATGGGGGGAATGGGGGTCAATGGGGGGATGGGGGTCAATGGGGGGACGGGGTCAATGGGGGGATGGGGAAATGGGGGTCAATGAGGGGATGGGGGGATGGGGAAATGGGGGGATGGGGTTGATGGGGGGAAGGGGGGATTAGGGTCAATGGGGGGAATGGAGGTTGGGGGAATGGGGGATGGAGGTCAACGGGAGGGATGGGGGGGGATGGGGGGCAATGGGAGTCAATGGGGGGGCAATGGGAATATGAGGACCTATGGGGCTAATGGAGCTCTGGGGGCTCTATGGGGCCTGACGCCCCTCTGCCCCCCCGCCCCCCCAGGGTGTCACGTGGTTCCCATGGAAAGGATTTGAGTTCTCCATCCCCTTCACCGAGATGAAGCTGCGGCCCCAGCGCGACTGAGGGCGACCCACACTTGGGGGGCACCCCATGGATCCGGGGCACCCCATGGATGGGGGCACCCCATGGATCCGGGGCACCCCATAGATCCAGGGCTCCCCATAGATCCGGGGCACCCCATGGATCCAGGGCACCCCATAGATCCGGGGCACCCCATAGATCCGGGGCACCCCATGGATCCGGGGCACCCCATGGACCAGGGGCACCCCATAGATCCGGGGCACCCCATAGATCCGGGGCACCCCATGGATCCGGGGCACCCCATGGACCAGGGGCACCCCATAGATCCGGGGCACCCCATGGATCCAGGGCACCCCATAGATCCGGGGCACCCCATGGATCCGGGGCACCCCATGGATCCAGGGCTCCCCATAGATCCGGGGCACCCCATGGATCCGGGGCACCCCATGGATCCAGGGCTCCCCATAGATCCGGGGCACCCCATGGATCCGGGGCACCCCATAGATCCGGGGCACCCCATGGATCAAGGGCACCCCATGGATCGGAGGCACCCCATAGATCCAGGGCACCCCATAGATCCGGGGCACCCCATGGATCCAGGGCTCCCCATAGATCTGGGGCACCCCATAGATCCAGAGCACCCCATGGATCCGGGGCACCCCATGGATCCAGAGCACCCCATAGATCGGGGGCACCCCATAGATCCAGAGCACCCCATGGATCCGGGGCACCCCATAGATCCAGGGCACCCCATAGATCCGGGGCACCCCATGGATCCAGGGCTCCCCATAGATCTGGGGCACCCCATAGATCCAGAGCACCCCATGGATCCGGGGCACCCCATGGATCCAGGGCTCCCCATAGATCTGGGGCACCCCATAGATCCAGAGCACCCCATGGATCCGGGGCACCCCATAGATCCAGGGCTCCCCATAGATCGGGGGCACCCCATGGATCAGGAGCACCCCATAGATCTGGGGCACCCCATGGATCCGGGGCACCCCATAGATTGGGGGCACCCCATGGATCCAGGGCTCCCCATAGATCAGGGGCACCCCATAGGTCCAGGGCACCCCATAGATCGGGGGCACCCCATAGATCCGGGGGCACCCAGGCAGGACTTGGGGGGGGGGAAGAACCTTTTCTATGGGGAGGGCGGGGGAATAAAGGATGCGCGAGCCCCCCATGTCCTGTGCCATGTGTGGGGCGCAGTGGGGCAGGTGGGGGGCAGGCAGGGCCACACCAGGCTGGTGTCCCATGGACCTTTATTGGGGGCAGAGCGCAATGGGGGCCCATAGCGGGGCCCCTATAGGGGGATGGGGGCCTTGGGGGGGGTCCAGGGGAGGTTGGGGGTCACGGGGGGGGGGCATAGGGGGGACATCCCCATAAGGGAGTCTCCATTAATGTGGGGGGTCTGGGGGGGTCTATGGGGGGTCCCATTGGGGGGTGATGGGGTCCCATTGGGGGGTCCCATTGGAGGGTGATGGGGTCCCATTGGGGGGTGATGGGGTCCCATTGGGGGTGTTGGGGTCCCATTGGGGGTGTTGGGGTCCCATTGGGGGTACTGGGGTCCCATTGGGGGTGTTGGGGTCCCATTGGGGGTATTAGGGTCCATGGGGGTGTTGGGGTCCCATGGGGGTGTTGGGGTCCCATTGGGGGTACTGGGGTCCCATTGGGGGTGTTGGGGTCCCATGGGGGTGTTGGGGTCCCATTGGGAGTACTGGGGTCCCATTGGGGGTGTTGGGGTCCACAGGGGTGTTGGGGTCCCATGGGGGTGTTGGGGTCCCATGGGGTGTTGGGGTCCCATTGGGGTATTGGGGTCCATGGGGGTGTTGGGGTCCCATTGGGGGTGTTGGGGTCCCATTGGGGGTATTGGGGTCCCATTGGGGGTGTTGGGGTCCATGGGGGTGCTGGGGCCCATGGGGGTATTGGGGTCCCATTGGGGGTGTTGGGGTCCCATGGGGGTGTTGGGGTCCCATTGGGAGTATTGGGGTCCCATTGGGGGTGTTGGGGTCCACGGGGGTATTGGGGTCCATGGGGGTGTTGGGGTCCATGGGGGTGTTGGGGTCCCATTGGGGGTGTTGGGGTCCCATGGGGGTGTTGGGGTCCCATTGGGAGTATTGGGGTCCCATTGGGGGTGTTGGGGTCCACGGGGGTATTGGGGTCCCATGGGGGTGTTGGGGTCCCATTGGGAGTATTGGGGTCCCATTGGGGGTGTTGGGGTCCACGGGGGTATTGGGGTCCATGGGGGTGTTGGGGTCCCATTGGGGGTATTAGGGTCCATGGGGGTGTTGGGGTCCCATTGGGGGTACTGGGGTCCCATGGGGGGTACTGGGGTGCCATTGGGGATACTGGGGTCCCATTGGGGGTGTTGGGGTCCACGGAGGTGTTGGGGTCCCATTGGGGGTATTGGGGTCAATGGGGGTATTGAGGTCCCATTGGGGGTGTCAATGGGGTCCATAGGAGTTAAGGGGGTTCAAAGGGGTCAATGGGCTCCCATGGGGGTCAATGGGGCCCATGGGGTCCATAGGGGTCAATGGGGTCCCATTGGGGTCAATGGGCTCCCATAGGGGTCAATGGGGCCCATGGGGTCCATAGGGGATCCATAGGGGTCAATGGGCTCCAATGGGGGTCATTGGGGCCCATGGGGTCCATAGGGGTCAACGGGCTCCCATGGGGGTCAATGGGGCACATGGGGTCCCATAAGGGGTCCATGGGGGTCAATGGGCTCCCATGGGGGTCAATGGGGCCCATGGGGTCCATAGGGGTGCATAGGGGTCAATGGGCTCCCATGGGGGTCAATGGGGCCCATGGGGTCCATAGGGGTGCATAGGGGTCAATGGGCTCCAAGGGGGGTCATTGGGGCCCATGGGGTCCCATAAGGGGCCCATGGGGGTCAATGGGGGCCCATGGGGGTCAATGGGCTCCCATGGGGGGCAATGGGGCCCATGGGTCCATAGGGGGTTCATAGGGGTCAATGGGCTCCCATGGGGGTCAATGGGGCCCATGGGGTCCATAGGGGGTGCATAGAGGTCAATGGGCTCCCATGGGGGTCAATGGGGCCCATGGGGTACATAGGGGGTCCATGGGGGTCAATGGGGCCCATGGGGGTCAATGGGGCCCATGGGGTCCATAGGGGGTCCATAGGGGTCAATGGGGGTCAATGGGCTCCCATGGGGGTCAATGGGGCCCATGGGTCCATAGGGGGTCCATAGGGGTCAATGGGGGTCAATGGGCTCCCATGGGGGTCAATGGGGTCCATAGGGTGTCCATGGGGGTCAATGGGGCCCATGGGTCCATAGGGGGTCCATAGGGGTCAATGGGGGTCAATGGGGTCCATAGGGGGTCAATGGGCTCCAATGGGTGTCAATGGGGCCCATAGGGGGCCCATAGGGGTCCATAGGGGTCAATGGGGGTCAATGGGCTCCCATGGGGTCCCTAGGGGTCAATGGGGGTCAATGGGCTCCCATGGGGGTCAATGGGCTCCCATGGGGTCCCTAGGGGTCAATGGGGCCCATGGGGTCCATAAGGGTCAATAGGGATCAGTGGGGGTCAATGGGCTCCCATGGGGTCCCTAGGGGTCAATGGGGTCCATAGGGGGTCAATGGGCTCCAATGGGTGTCAATGGGGCCCATGGGGTCCCTAGGGGTCAATGGGCTCCCATGGGGGTCAATGGGCTCCCATGGGGTTCATAGGGGTCAACAGGCTCCCATGGGGGTCAATGGGGCCCATGGGGTCCATAAGGGTCAATAGGGGTCAATGGGGGTCAATGGGGGTCAATGGGCTCCCATGGGGTCCCTAGGAGTCAATGGGGGTCAATGGGGTCCATAGGGGGTCAATGGGGTCCATAGGGGGTCAATGGGCTCCCATGGGGTCCATCGGGGGTCCATAGGGGGTCCATAGGGGTCCATAGGGGTCAATGGGGTCCATAGGGGGTCAATGGGCTCCAATGGGTGTCAATGGGGCCCATGGGGTCCATCGGGGGTCCATAGGGGGTCCATAGGGGTCCATAGGGGTCAATGGGGTCCATAGGGGGTCAATGGGGGTCAATGGGGGTCAATGGGGCCCATGGGGTCCATCGGGGGTCCATAGGGGGTCCATAGGGGTCCATAGGGGTCAATGGGGCCCATGGGTGGCAGTGGGGGGGTCTCAGGCGAGGCCGCCGTCGATGCCGCGCAGGCGCCGGGCGAGCTGCAGGTCCCGCGGGTAGAGGGTGACGCGGCGCGCGTGCAGCGAGCACAGGTACGCGTCCTCCAACAGGCGCACCAGGAACGCCTCCGCCGCCTGCGCCACGGACCCAGGACACCCGAATGCACCCAAAGAGACCCGAAATGCACCCAAAGGCACCCGAAATGCACAGAAAGACACCCAAAATGCACCCAAATGCACCCAAAATACGCCCAAATGCACCCAAAGGCACCCAAAATGCACCCAAAGGCACCCGAAATGCACCCAAAGGCACCCGAAATGCAACCAAAGGCACTCGAAATGCACCCAAAGACACCCAAAATGTGCCCAAAGAGACCAAAAATGCACCCAAAGGCACCCAAAATGCACCCAAAGGCACCCGAAATGAACCCAAAGGCACCCGAAATGCACCCAAAGAGACCAAAAATGCACCCAAAGGCACCCAAAATGCACCCAAAGGCACCCGAAATGCACCCAAAGGCACCCAAAGACACACAAAGGCACCTGAAATGCACCCAAAGGCACCCGAAATGCACCCAAAGGCACCCTAAATGCACTCGAAATGCAACCAAAGGCACCCAAAATGCACCCAAATGCACCCAAATGCACCCGAAATGCAACCAAAGGCACCCAAAATGCGCCCAAAGGCACCCGAATGCACCCAAAGGCACCCAAAATGCACCCAAAGAGACCAAAAATGCACCCAAAGGCACTCGAAATGCACCCAAAGGCACCCAAAATGCAACCAAAAGCACCCAAAATACACCCAAAGGCACCCGAAATGCACCCAAAGACACACAAAGGCACCTGAAATGCACCCAAAGGCACCCAAAATGCACCCAAAGGCACCCAAATGCACCCTAAATGCACACAAAGGCACCCGAAATGCAACCAAAGGCACCCGAATGCACCCAAAGGCACCCAAAATGCACCCAAAGGCACCCGAAATGCAACCAAAGGCACTCGAAATGCACCCAAAGACACCTGAAATGCACCCAAAGAGACCAAAAATGCACCCAAAGGCACCCAAAATGCACCCAAAGGCACCCAAAATGCACCCAAAGAGACCAAAAATGCACCCAAAGGCACCCAAAATGCACCCAAAGGCACCCAAAATGCACCCAGAGGCACCCGAAATGCACCCAGAGGCAGCCAAATTGCACCCAAAGGCACCCAAAATGCACCCAATTGCACCCGAAATGCACCCAAAGGCACCCGAAATGC